GTCACGCTGAGGTTTGGAGCAGGACTTGCGTGATGCCATGTTTTTCATTTGATTCAAGCCGGGTTGAAGTACTTTGAGTAGTCGTGGTGTCACCAGTCCCCATGTTAGACTCTCAGGCCACATTTGAGGCCCGGGCGAGAGAAATCGGCTTCTCGGATGCCGAAATTGCTGTCTTCAGGCAGCAAGGTTGGGACACTTTTGGGCGGTTGGCATTCGCGAAGAATTACACACCGGGTCAGGCTGACGACCAACCGCTCATCGAACTCGCCGCAATCATCACTAACACCACTCCTCCCCCGCCAAATCGCGTGCCTTTGGTACGAAGGATCGTGTTCGAAAGCTACACCTTCGCCTCTGCAGATTTGAAAAGCCGAATTGACAGGAAGGATGACGACACTCCGAGGAAGCTAGCTGTGGCAGAAAGAGCTTCACGGCACCAGGATCAAGTCAGGCGACTCAAGGGCCTCAACCTGGTCGGGGAACTCGAAGCCAGCCATTCGCTAATCGATGCAGTCGTACAAATGTACGATGACAACCAGCTTCGTTATCTTCGTTGGGATCAATGTACCAAACGAGATCAAGAGCTTATGGGAATCAAATCGGACCCAATGTGGAAGCCCGACGCCAACGGGGTCATCAAGGAAGTCAAAACCACCACCGAGCTGAAGGCGGACACTAGTACTGATCTCAAGTTAAAGTTTGCACTGCAACGTAGATCACTGGCTTTCGACCAAACGCGCCTCATCGACTATGACAAGATGGAGCGTTGGACTCAGATACTCATCGATGCTTTCCTGGAGGTCCCCCCCGCGAATTATGCAAAGGTCACGATTGAGCAAGTGCACAACGCGGACTTGGCTCTCTTCAAGTACATGATGAAGGAGACTCGCTTCGGCATCAAACCGCTTGCTGATGGGACCCTGCCACTAGAGAGAGCTCTTCAAGCCGCCATGGCTGCACCCGAAGTTCGCCTGTGCCTACAACCGTTGCAGGCCCCGGGAGGTCCGAAACGCAAGGCAGAAGAAGCTGGCTTGGACGAAGCAACCTCGAGTAAGCAACGAACCCAAGCCGAACCTTCAAAAGCTCGAACAGAGGAGGAACGCCTGAGGCGACAAATTCAGAACTTGCAGGGTCAGGTGAAGAACCTCCAGGCACAAAGAGGACGAGGGAGCACAGGAAGAGGGGGCCGTAAAGGACAAGGGCGAGGGCGTGGTATCACTCGTGATCCGGTTCGTATGCCTGAGCGCCTTATCGGTTATTCAGCTACAAAGCCTGACGGCGAGCCAGTGTGCTTTGACTACAACCTCGATGGCTGCTCCAACGCAGCTGCCGGCGAGAAATGCCGAAAAGGATGGAACGTATGTATCAAGTGTTATGGCAAGCACCCTTTACGTGACTGCCCAAAGAGCTGAATGCAACCTCCGGCTGAACTTGTTTCAAATCCCACGCCGTCGAGTGCGAGTGTGAAGGATGTTCTTCCCGACGATGGCGCCTTTCAGGGCGCCCCCTTTTCTTCGTTGCTGACTTTGGAGCTGGGGGCAGGTGTTGCTAGGCTTTCGGCGTGCTTGAGTGAGATGGGATTTCAAGCACTGGCCGTGGACCATGGGGGGAATCGCCGCAAACAGTGTCATCCTTGCGTACAGTTAGACCTGGCTAGTGATGAGGCTTCTGTTTTCTTATTGGGGCTTCTGAGAAAACCGGGTGAACTGCTTTTTGTTCATGCGACACCTCCATCGGGTACAGTGGCCAGGATGCGCGAGAGGAAGCGCTCTCGCTCCCATCTTGCGCACGCGCCAAAACTGAAGCAGCTGCGCTCAGAGTCCAAGCCAGAGGGCTTGGACGACTTGTCCGAAATCGATCAGAAGAGGGTCAGCATTGCCAACAAAATCTTTCGCACTATTGCAACTTTTCTGAGTGCATGTGCAGACAGGGGCATTGCTATTTCTGTCGGACATCCCACCAGGTCGTTGTTGTGGAAAACACGTTGGTTCAAAGATCTGCAGCAGAAACATGGTCTGCATTCAGTGGATTTCCAGCAGTGTATTTGGGGTGGCCGCAGTAACAGGTGGTATACCATTCGGTGCAATTTCCATGCATTGAAGGCTCTTAGCGGTTCGTGCCAGGGTGGGCACAAACATGCGCTGTGGGGTGAGCGGAGCAGTTGTCCTGCTCCTGACTTCCCACTCCAACTATGCCGAGCATTTGCGGTCGCGGTCAAGCAANNTTGGGAGCCCAGCAACTGGGGACGACAGGATCCGCACAGGCTTCATCCGCAAAGCAACCACGAAGGATGTCCCAGGCAGGAAAACAACCCCGTGGCAACAAGTTGCCGCCGGTTATATCGGAGTTCGAGTCGGAAATCTGGGTTCTTTGGGACTTGGCACGCCCTGGAAACATCCCGCAGAAGCTTTCACAGTCGCAGTGCCAACATTTCGGCATCGACACAACTGCTAAACTACTGGAGTTCTGTGAAGTGGGTGATCCTCGGTACTCCAGTTTATTTTGCCCAGTGCAGGACGCCAGCAGCTGCGGTGTGCAGCGCTGCGGTGTGCAGCTGCCGCTGGCTAGGCTCGGAGTGTATCGAACTCCGCAGAGGTTTGTGAAAGAAGCTTTGGAGGTAGAGCATCCTTTTGACGGCACGTCCATGTTAGATGATGATGCATTGCGGGCGATGTTTGTCCTCCTTACAGAAGGCCCTGAAGGAGTCCGAAAGCGTAGGCAAGCAGCCTTCGAATTC